GGAGTAGAGGTTGACCTAAAAGGCAATTAAGAACGATAAGGTAATTGTTAACTTAGCGAAGGAGATGACCCGTAGTAGAATTGAACGGAAGTATACCTGAAAAGGTTTTATGAAGACCCTGTTTTGTTGTTGTTGTTGTTGTCGTCGCATGTTTGAATGCCTTGAGCTTGGTATTAGCATATGTTTGTTACTGACAATTTTACATCTATTTGAACTTCTTTCTTGTATATGAAAAGATTTTCCTACCTGAGCTCACCTCCATGTATTTTGATCCTGTCATGGTAAAGAACTGACTGGCTGCTGGAAGAGCCATCCACCAGTTCTTGAATAAGCAGTTTCGGATTCCGTCAATGGTAAGCCATCCACCACAATGTTGTCTTTGTTTGTAGGCAATCTGGCGATGGAAACTATGAGGTTGTCAATCTGGCTCAGAACCTGAAGTTTATTATGTAGAGAAGCACCTTTAGGCTTCCTTCTATAATAGATCTCAGTCTACCTCATTATTAACAACAAATTGACATTGGGGAACTTACTACTAACCTCTGCACTGAAAATCTACAGTACTCTGGTACCTATCTTATTGTCTGATCTATTCGCTTTGTTATATTGCAGTTTGTTGAAGCGGTTAATTGAAAAGTGAAAGCCAAATATTGAAAGTTTAACTGTGTATAACCTCTTCACTTTGACCAATTTCTAAATTATCGTCTTATTTTTTTTTTAATTTCTCAACTCCTGATTTCTTGAAAAGCCAAAAAGTATACCATCTCAATAAGTGGATGGGTCTTGGAATTTTGTACATTAATATTGTTGAGGACTCTTAGGAAACTTGACCAGTTTAATAAAGAGGGTAGGACAAGGAGTCCTCAAATCCTAAAGTCACTGCCTTTTTCACCATTCCAGAAAAGAGTGTGGTGGCTTCTGACTGTCTATGTGTCGCAAGTGCTGATCCGTTTGATAAAAGTGTGATGGCGAAATGATGAAGAGTCATAACCTATGTTACTTGGGTACTTCTAATATAGAGCCGTGCCCGTACCCGACACTTCTTGGACAATCCTTAAATATATGCATATATTTATTTGGACATGTACGCGATTATACTACGCATGTTTAATTTAAAACACTCGTCATACACTCCGTGCATATGTATTCACGCTTCACTTCCATATCTGTAACTTGTTGGATAAGGGTCGAGTTCGTTTCAACCGTGTCCCCATACCTGATCTTTTATAATTTGCCATGTCCTATACCTGCACCCCTACCTGCACCTGAACCCGTACTGGTGCAACTTGGGTTATAACTAATGGGCAAGCTGCATACTAACACCATTTGTCGAGTATATGCAGGCATTGCCTTTCTGGTTATCCATTATATTCAACCAAAAGCACGAGGGTGTTGAGTCAGCTGACATGAAGTCACTGAGAGTGTTGGGAGCAGGTGCTGGTATTTTGAGCTTTGCGACTATAGCATCTGCTGATGAAGCTGAACATGGTTTAGCATGTCCCACCTATCGTTGGCCTCACAAAGGAATTCTTAGTTCCCATGATCATGCCTCATGAGAATATATCATAACTATCAGAGCATGCATTTTCAGTAGAATATAATTTGTTCTTTTCCCCCTATGTGAGAATAACTAGAAAAATGTAACAGTTTTCTTGAGGTATAAAGTTCCAGAATCCATAATACTTAGTGCTACCATTTGCCTACCTGGAATTCACTCTACGCTACAATATGAAGCACAGTTTCTGCTATTAAGATATTTTTATCTTAAGATAATTTTCTTCATATTTTTTAACACCTAGAGGTAGAAGGGTACCGGTTTAGATATATTTTATCTATATGAAGTGACCTGCATTTGCTTGTCATTACATGTTCAAGACTTGTTGACATTCTAGTGCCCTATGATATGTACAGTATGACTATATTTACTGGATAGGAGTCATAGGATCATAGTTGAAGCTGCTTTTTGGATGAGGGATAGACCGAAATATACCTGGATTCAGTTGGTTAAGAAAATACAGGATGGTTACTTGCCCATAAGGCTAAATGTGGCAGATCCTTGTATCTGGCAGGAATTGAGATAAAGGGTCTTTCTAATGTCGCAATATTGTTTGGGGATGTCAAGTTTGAGGCAATTTTCCTGATACATATTTTCTCTTTTTTAATATATTGAACCTGCCAAAGATCAAGGTCACCATGTACAACAGCAAGTGCATGCTTTTGTCATTCATTGTCGCTGACATCTTATAGGGATCTTGTTGGTGTGACATACGCAGAGGAGGAGACGAAAGCTATGGCTGCTGAAATCGAGGTGGTTGATAGGCCAAATGATGAAGGTTAAATGTTCACTCATCCAGGCAAATTGAGTGATTGTTTTCCTCAGCCATATGCAAATGAACATGCGGCAAGGTTTGCTAATGGAGGTGCATATCCTCCAGATCTCAGCCTTATTACCAAGGTAATAAAACTATTTATAATTCATTCAAGATAATTGTCCCTCTATCATCATAGATGCACACAATATTTCAACTTTTTTTTATCCAAAAGTTTTTTACTCTAATTTCTTTCGTTTTTCAGGCACGATGCAATGGGCAGAACTGTGCATTTGCACTCTTAGTGGTTACCGTGATCCTCCTGCAGGTGTCTTGGTAATACTTTTTTGCCGAATTTGAATGTGTATATATGCATGACACCTATACAAAAACATATTCCCTCAATGGACAAAAAAATTTAAGCAGTATGTCATAAAACTGATCCTGCATTTCTTTAAAAGCAAAATGAATTAGTGCATCATATTATATATCCTTACTTCTAAATATCATTTGTTGGGAAGTCATGTTACCCATGTAATTTAGGCTTTTGTATTTCAGGTTTCAGACTCCTTAAGACCCTTCCTGTGCCTTCCTGTGGGTGTTTATGTCCCTCCTTGATTAGTTATCTTTGTTCATGAACTTCAGTTTGGCCATACTGTCATCTTGTTTAGTTTGGTATAAAGATGCATCAGCATTCTAACAAGGAAAAAATCATAACTGACTTATTGACATTGTGTCTTTCGACATACCTAAACCAGCTTTGCATGCTTGTGTTGTTTGGCTCATGTAGGCATATTGATCAGCACATATATGCATGATTCATGCATGTCCTTACGTGTGCATATGTTCATGTGTAGGGTAATACATATGCCCCTAGTGCAACTGCGTCGTTGCCAGAATATATTTGAGTTCAAATTCTTGTTAATCATGATCCGTGAAACTTCGAAGCCTGGAACAAGATCCAAGTGGTTTAGGGATGATTAAAAAAAAAGTTATTGGAATCAAGTGCTCTGAGACTATACGTTTTTCAGTTATAAATTGATTGGTTCCAAAAGAATCTAGACACCCACTAAAATCTAGTAAATATTTGTTATCATCAATTGTTAGAAATTTGAACTGAAATGTATAATCATAATAAAATATGTCTACTGAACATGCTAATATGCTGTAAAAAATTTGTCAATTTAACCACTTGTTTCATAGTTGAGTTGTTCTTTCTAAATTCTAGAAGCAACATTGCTGTCTGATCATACAGCTTCGTCGCTTCATTAATAAAGTCGTCATTCCTCTCAGTTGCTTTTATGCTAACTTTGGATGGTTGTTTTTGTCTGTGTTATATGAAAATTAGATTAGAGAGGGCCTGCACTATAATCCTTACTTCCCTGGTAGGGCCTTCGCCTTGCACAAAATGCTTATTGATGGCGTTGTCGAGTATGAAGTTGGCACTCCTGCTACCGAAGCACAAGTATCATCAGTCCTCTCTATTTATCATCTGTCATAGTCTGTCTTTGTCATGTGAATAAATAATCTTAATTACTTGCTAATTTTCTTGTTATACTAGATGGGGAAGGATGTTGTTTCGTTTTTATCATGGGCGGCAGAACCTGAGATGGGAGAGAGGAAACAGGTACAGAGACTGCTTGTTTATCATTTGACATGGTCTTCTTTATTGAGATAGAATTATAATGATGATATGCCTTCTGTATGCAGATGGGATTCAAGGGATCTTCGTTCTGTCGCTTACACTGCTACAAGCTGCTTGCTATCGGCATATCAGGTTGTCACTTTTGAAGTAACGCAAGATGATTGTTGATGCAGTTCACTGATCAGTTTCTTGAATTTACTTAAATGTATATGAGCATCAGAGGAAGGAAAAAATGAGTACTTCAGGGAGAATGATCGAATTTGAAGCCATTCTCTTAGGGAAAACACGGATTTTGCCAGCAATTTTTGATATGGTGAGCAGCATTCAAGACCAATATCAGGGAAATAAAATTCCATTTTGCTAATGACTGTAATAAGACGAACTTACTGTAGTTCCTCGTGCTTAATCTAAGTGCTGATATGTATCCTCACTGGAAATGAGTTGTCCAGTGAGTGCTATCCAAATTAAATGGTGCATTTTGTACTAGCCACTTCAGATGTATGTGTTCTTGGTAAACAGCCAGCAGTAGTATGTTTATCGATTCATTTTGTTCGTTATTGCCTGATTCAGGCAAGGTATAATAGTTCATGTATTTCACTTCTTAGTATTACTAGTATTATAATGTATGTTATTCCTTTTTCTTGGAACGAAAAGAACCTAATTATTATATGCATGTTCATAAATATCAAATCATGTGGTCTGTCATTGATTTAAATTATGACATAATTTGGCATGCTAGCTATATATTGATTCTAAAATCTTCTCATTCGGATCCTTGACCTTTTGCACTAATGAGCTAGATTTCACTCAGAATTATTATATTATTCAATTGCCCAGTTTCCTCCCAGTCTTTTACCTTTTTCCTTGTGTTAAATCAATGTATAATTTGTTATCACATTCAGCAGCAAACTGTTATTTGACATGGAAACAAGTTACAGCTCCTGAAATATGAAGCTATTGGTTACCAAGTTGATCACCGCCAATCGATTATGAAGACATATATCACAAAGAACAAGCTTTTAAAATGATCAGATACATACAAAAAATTGAATCAGCAAATTCTCTTTGTTTATTTTAACCAAAATTCATGATAGCATCAACAGATACCTTCCAAGTACAAAAGAGTTGGCACATCAAGTTTGTACATATACGGGTTTCTCCAATTGCCACCGACTGTCAAAAAAACAAGTCTAAGTCATAAATTTCATCGAATTTTCGTACTACTAAATTGGGTGGAATAATTTATCCCACCACCAGTATATACGCATAAAAGTTTTATAAAAGCAGTCATGAAGTATCAATCTTCTGCAATTCATAGTCTTTTCGCTGGGCACAATGATCAACTTGATGCGAGAATACTTGATCACGCCGCACAATAACCTGCCTACTACTATCAGCAGCTTGCTCGAAATAAATGCCACTGTGAAGGATCAAATGCTCATATCACCTTTGGCTCTCTTTTTGGGAGGAGATTGAGACCCATCAAAAGGGTCAAATTCTTGATCCGCATGAGATTCTATCTTGAGCAAATTCTGCTTGTCTCCCACTCGTTGAGAGCTTTCTCTTGATTCTAAAGATATGGACACATTCCTTGGCTCAGAATCATCTTTTTCAGAAGAAATCACATTTGAAGTCGCGGTGTGAACAGCGTTCAATGTTGAAGATGTCTTTGGTGTTTCTCCATCAGCTTTGCACTGCTGTTCTAGCATCTTTTGAAGATACCTCCCTTGTTCTTCAAGCTTCAACTGTAAATTCCTCTGTATCTGTCATGGATAAAGAAAATTGGATCAGATACCATGAATAAATGATAATGTAGATAATAGCATAGAGTAAATTTCACCCCCCAAAAAAAAGACTTTGCGGTGTTTCCCATGAAATCCCCTGAAATTTTGTTTTCCCCACTAAATTCCCAAAACTTTTCCCAGCCCAAAACTACAGTCTCAAATAACACCCCAAAACTTTTAACTTTTCCCAACACCCCCCCCCCAAAAAAAAGAAAAAAAAATTAAGCACAAGAGGAGAAGAACTCCGGAGGAAACAAGGAAAGAACAGAATTGGCCCAAGGATAAGGTCCTCCAATTGCAAGAGACACTTTGGGGTCTTGTGTGAAAAGTTGAAATTTTTGGGGGGTTGTTTGAGACAGCTTGCAGTTTCGGGTTTTGCAGGAAACTTTTGGGTGTTTAGTGGAAGAAACAAAGTTGATGGGGGTTTTGTGGGAAACACCCCACCAAAGATTTTGGGGTTTCTGTGAAATTTACCACAAAAGCATAAGTAAATACAGGAAGAAAAATGGATAGAATGACAAAACTCTGATGACCGAAGACATATGGTATGTGAAACTGAAGAGTCAACAATAGAATACATGTAGAAATTGAAAAGGATGCCTTAAGAGTGCATTTTAAATGTTGAGGGTATATAAGCAATTATGCATTTGCTAACTACGGTCCACATGGTGGACATTGAAAAGAATCTGACCAAAATAACAGCGCCGTGCTAGTGGATTTTGGATGTGTGAAAACTTAGGTAGTATCTAGGCCAAAGCATAGGTTAATAGATTTCAAACAAATTCTATCTGCGAAATTTGGTACTACCAGGAATAAGTTATTATTTCAATAAAAGGCATAGATTAGATGCCAGGAATGCCCACAGCTTGCTGCCACGTCAAAAGTGGATATAAAGGAGAAACAAAAAGGGATAGAATGTGGAAAAGATACGATGACTGAAGATATATGATATGTCAGATTGAAGGATCAACTGTAGAAAGTATGTACAATTCGAAAAGGATGCTTTAGAACGTATTTTAAACATTCGAGGGTATATATGCATTTTGCTAACTAATGGACAATGAGAAGAGTAAACAAAATCAGAAGCACGCGCTCGGGGATTTCGGATGAGAATGAAAATGAACTTAAGGCAGTTTACAGGCCAAAACATAAGTTGATGTAAAGAATCAAGTAAAATGATATAATGCAGGATGAGATGCATTATACATTCAAAACCGGAAAAGCAGAAAGGCTAAATATTACCAACAGCTCTCCAATAAGAGATTTATCTTTGGGAACTAAGATCTCCTGTATCCAATTTACTAAAGACAGAAATGATTATGTATTTAAAGCATGCATCAGAGTGAACTCTTCAAGCAATACCTCAAGTTGCTCATGAAGTTGCTTCTGCACTTCCATCTGCATACGCAATGCTTCAGAAAGCCCAAAATCCCTGGGAGCAAGAAAAGATCACAAAGTGATTTAATGGGACTATGTAAAATTAGTCATGTGGTATATCCTGTAGTTTGAAATAACCGGATAATGCTTTCCATGTTAATATTAATGATTGATATATTGATGGCAAAGCCCTGATATAAGCTCAAGAAAGGAAGCATTTACTAATTCAAGAAAAACGTAAGCAGAAGAAAATACAAGTAGCTTGTATAAAGCACTGGACCTTCCATGGAATAAATCACCACATTGAGATGCACAACTAATAAAGATACCAACAAAGGTAATATTTCCTTCTCAAATTTATTCATGATGTATACCATTCGCAAGCCCCAACTTTTAACCATGTTCAGACCGGAATTACCTGTACATAAGATTCCTGTCACCGTCATTGGTAACCTATTTCTCAAACATTACTAAAGAAGCACTCCCACTGCTTCTATGAAAAACATACTTCTCAATATTACAATCATAAATGATTATGAGTCATTGAACACAAGTATCAAATATATCATTCTAGGTCTTTCTTGATCATGGATGAGAACTTCATCCTCGCTTCTACTTGTACTGGTAAAAAGATATTTTACATATTTCTAATTGACGCTTACTTTAGAGTTTTCTCTCAATGTCACTATTCTAGAAATAATTCCTTCTCTAATTTCATTAATATATTATCATCAATAAATGACATACATCCTAGGCACTCAAAATGAGTGCAACTCTGAAACAGTAACTAATACAAAGAAGTATTACTTACTGTCAAATGTCAATGTTGTTTAATCAAGAGATGGATGAATAAAAGAAGATACCACATAAACCTAGTCATGTAACTGACTTGAAAGGTTAAGAATTCTTAAAAAAAATTCATCCTAACCCTACTTATCAATATGAATCTCAAATCTTAAACATTATGTGCAAACAGGGAAAGGTCTTACCACGGAGGCATAGTCTCACTTCATGTAAAGTTGATGAAAATAATTTTCTACACTTTATAGTGAAAATCACAACTAACAATACAAAAAAAGAGGGAGAAAGAAAGAAAAAAGAAAAAGAAAAATGCATAAAAATTCCAGAATTTACACACCTGACCAGATACATGATTTTCTTAATGAAATTCAACATTGAGTAATGTAAACTCACTTTTTTAGGCTTACAGATGGAATTCTCTCAGCAGAAGTAGTCTCATCCTCTGATTTATCTGTGCCAAAAAGATTAAAATACAATAAGTTCAACAGAGATTATAGAAATAAGCATTTAGTAATCAATGTATCAATATTTACAATGAATGAAATTTTAAAAATACACAAAGCATAGAGGACAAGGTGATGGGAACTTGGAACGTAATTTGTATCATTCTGAGAAATATGTTTTATGATAGGAGTGTAAGAAAACATGGACAGTTTAAGAAAACAAAAAGGTGCCGCCTAAGCTTACAAACAAACCTTGAGTAGATTCTGGTCTGTACCGAACTGTTCTGTATTTCTGCAATCCCCCACCATAAAAGGAAAAAAAAGAACTAACTAAAAATCACAAAATTAAAAACATGACAGGTTTCAGTCAAGAAAAAAAATTAGAACACAAACCTGCAGATGGCTTTTCACATGGTATATGGTTAAACCTTCAACTTTCATGAGCTTCAGCACACCTTTAGGAGTAGCTTCTGTGAAATAAATTAATAAAAAATCAAATAAAAGACAGTAACAACTTGATGATTAAAAAAATAAAAAATTGAAAATGGGTTCAAAGATCAGCGCCACCAACTTTCACTACCACCAAGTTGATTAACAGCTTCAACAAAAGAATCATGGAGTTCTGGAGTCCATCTCATGCGGCTCTTGGTTGCACCAGCAGTACAAGAAGATGAAGGATTACTGACAACAGTAAGCTGCCCGGAATTAGAAGGAATGGCTTGCTGTACTTGCTTATTCTGGACTGGAACTTTCTGGGAGTTGTCTGCTACACATAAAGCCTATACATCAAAAAAGAAGGCGCACGTGTCACAATATGAGTTGAAAAAACACATTACAAGTTACAACCACATTTAGGAACTCTATAACTCACTTGACAACATAACACAGGATGGATAACTTATATAAAACATCAATTTATATGGTTCGAGCTGAAATTACAAGGATTAAGAAATTATCTAACCATCAGACTTGGATTGATATCAGTCCATTACAATAAAGGATGAGGACAACTGATAGAAAATTAAAATGGAATGGCAGTCATATTCCTTCCTACAGTTTATTCCTATTCTCTTTATTCAATCTCTCTATTAAAATGGATTGATATCAATTTATATGGTTCTTGATTGCTGCTCCAAAAATGACCACCACTTCATAGTTCACAAATAGATGTTAGGAGCTAGCCATATAACTACAAATTAGAGTTAACAGTTTTTTCCTATTCTCTTTATTCAATCTCTTTAGGAACGAGAATAAGGGCAATGTAAAGCATGCAAAGGGTTTAAAATAGCTAGGAGTTAAAGATATCACAAATTGTCTTAAAGCAATGGCCATTCTGCTAAGTATTATGTGCCTAAACTGACTTTAACAAAAAGAATAGCTAGAAGGAAGGATTTCCTCATGACATCCATGAACCGACAAAAACAACAAAGAAAAAAAAACTCTGGTAAGTGCAAGTACCTTAGGCTGAAGTTCAGTGGTGTCTGTGATATTAAGAAGCGCTTGCAAATCATCATCAATTTCCGAGAACTCTGGCCATTCTTCATGACTAAGAGGGACATCTGAGGTCATATTGCAGATGCTTTGGATTTGAGCATCTCCAGAATGAATGTATTGACTAGAATCTGGGCACCAACTTTCGCTGTTTTCTTTAGGAAAACTTATTGAAGGTTGACGTGTCCCTAAACATGGAGAATGCATTGAAGGCAGAAGAACATCATCGGATGGGTGAGAAATAAATGAAGGATCAAACGAAGGCATCCCTTGAGGTGGAATAGAAGGGAAATGAAAATCTGGTGAATATCCTTGAGCTGATGAAAGCATAGGTCCGCAAACTGCATCATCGGAGAAAAGGGAAGCGTAAGGATGGGCCATATTATTGCTTCCCATCTCTCTTCCCATCAAAAACCTGTTGAAAACCCGAAAGCTCGGGAAGTGGTCGGATGAACAGGATAACTATGGTTGAAGCAAGTCAAGAAATTGCTGCGCAATTTGGTAGTTTCATATCTGCTGACAACAGTAATGACACCAATCAGACCTCGAGTTATGATAAATGTAACACACTATAATAAATTTTTTTAAATAAATCCACATTTGAATGAATCATTTTTCCACATTGAGTTATGCTGAATGCATTATCTGAAATTAAATTAGAGGTAGTCATGGTTTGCATGTACCAGGATACCTCTTCGAGCAAAATGATCATAAAAAATAAGCAAAAAAAAAAAAGATTCTCAATCAATAAACTAACACAAGCAACGTAATATGACCCAAACTTCACGAGTAAGCCTTTTTTTTACTTGAAATAATAGAAAGAAACATAATATGCAGGATTAATATGAGATGAGATCTATTTACAAGATTTCAACTGCCAGATGTCCATATCAATTATACAGAACAAAGTTTCACAAGTAATATAAACTCGTTACTCAAATCAAACGTGCCGAAAATAAAAGTTTGATTCTTTTTGCAGCTACTGCGTTAAAAATCCTGCCTTTGTATCAATAATAAAACAAACCCAATAAAAAATCAAATCAAATTTCAGAACGATAGTCCAAGCACTAACGAGGTACCTGATCACAAAATCTTGAAAGAATTTGAGAGGAGAAGAACAAGAAAGAAGTAAAAAAAATTAGATAAAAATCGTGGAGAGAAGGGGAAATTTTAGGGTTTTTTTTTTACCTGAATTCAAAACCCTAGAGAGCGGGTGAAGGAACTGGGAATTGGGGGACGAGAGGTAAATGCGGGGAGAGGTGGAAGAGGGTGGATGAAGGTGTGGGATTCGTAAGATCTTTTGCGAATCTTGTCATAGATTTACATATACGCCCCCTGTCTTACTTTTTATCTTTACTCATCCCCTTGATGGTGGGGCCATTTATTCATGGGTTTTTTTAGATATTAGTCCCTTACATCAATAATTGTTATGGTCCCTCAAATCTTGGAAATCGCATATAGCTAATAATTCTTTACATATATTACATAATTTTTCTCTAGTCCAATAAATTTTAAAGAGCAGTATGCACATATGTCAGGGTCTAATTGATTGATCTTTGCCTTTGAACCAGGCTCACAAATTGATTTAGCCCGTAGATGCTTAGGCGGGAGTGCAAACAAGATTTCCGCCCGATGTGTATCTGAAGCATCAGTCTGTATGACTAATGTATCTCCGGATTGATGATGATAAAGGATCTTTTGTTCCTTTATTTCCTTTTTGATGTTGACAAATTCTTGTAATTGCTCATCATTCAATACAATTCTAATTTTGTCCTAACGGGTCACTCCTTTATTATTTAGTTCTTTATATTTCCTCTATTCTTCAGTAAGTTTATTCTAAAGTGAAGAAATTTTTTCAGAGAGATTGGATATATACATTCTCCCATAATTTAGTAAGCCAAGAAAGCTTTGCAGATCTTTTAGAGTTTTTGTCCTTGAATTCTTTGATCTCTGTAATGATATGGTCTTGCAATTCAATGTGACTACTTTTTATTCTTTTTCCTAAAAATTTGATATCCTCTTGCATAAGAGTTATCTTTTTAGGAGATAGAATAATACCATGATTGAGCAATAGCCTAGCTACTGCTATCAAATGCTCTTTGTGTTCCTCTTTTGTTTTAGAGAACACAATGATATCATCTATATAGACAACAACAAATAACAAATGCTCAAAAATGTTATTCATCCATTTCTAAAATATTTTTGGAGCATTTTTGAGAATATAAATGGCATAACATTCCATTCATAATGCCCTCCATTAGGACGGCTAAATGTTGTTAGCCTTTTGCTTTCTTCATCCTTAATTTTAATCTTCCAGAATCTAGACTTTGCATCAAATTTACTAAACCATATGGCATCTCAGATTCTATGTAATAACAATTCACTATTAGGGATAAAGAAACCATCAAATTTGGTGGCTTCATTAACTTTTTTTATAGTTAATGATCATCCTAGCATTTCCTCTTTTTTGTTTGGCATGATTGCTTATCAAGAAAGCTAGAGAAGAATGATTTGATTCTAAGTTTTGTATTAAATTTAGTTTGAAGAGCTCAGATATTTGAGTTTCAAACTCTCTTCTATCTTCAAAGTTAGCTTCTATAAGATTAACCCTAATATTTTTTCTTTGTATTCTTCTTTTAATTGAATGGTACAATATCTAGGGCTTTTTTCAAAATATAACAAGGGGTTATCACTGTATAAAGGTGACAACATTGTATTAATTATTATTTTCAAAATCATTGGCAACTGGAATATTATAATTTAGTTGATTAATTTCTTTTGGGATTTCTATCTCACCACGCTATGCTGCAGGTGTTAAGGTGAAACCTTTTCCTATGATGAATAAAGATTCGTTCAGTATATCAGGAGAGGATATAGAATCTTCTGAAACTGATATACATGATCTCCAAGGAGAGAATGATGAGAATATAGAAAGACTAAAAATGGCCATTCCCAAACCTCATCGTCATGATGTTTATGTGAAAACAGGTATTTTTAATACTAAATTCCTCAATAAAAATTACTATATATTTGATAGAGTCGATGGAAATATCGTGTTACATTGGGAAGATAGCTTTAAGAGCATTGCACTCCTCAAGCAAAGAAAAATAAATAAATTAAAAAAATATAAAGACATGAAATATATTCAATTTGGACTTATCCAAGTAAAAATTATTGGACAATTTAAGTCCCGTATAGATACTCCAATTATGGTACTCTACATGGATGAGACAATTATCTCAAATCCATTAGATGCCTTAATAGGTGGATGTAAATCCAACCTTGCCATCAGAATTCTAGGTGTCAGCATACGTCCAGATTACTCTGTTGCGTTTAATGATCCACACATATGTGATGTGGTAAAATTAAGCATAAATCTTAAAGGAATAGAGATGAAACCTGGTAGCTGAGTGCTAGGAATACAGTGAGAATCTGTAGTAGCCCTCAACAAAACATGTACCTTCTTTAGCAAAATGTTAGAGAAGTAATTAGTTTATTTGAGGTACAACCCGGAAAGGTAATTCAACCTTGAACATTAAGTTCAAATGATCTTAAAACTATCTTCCCCATGTAACTCGATATTTCCATCGACTCGAAATATATTGGGGATAATCCATATTTATGAATGGAAAACACCTGATTTTATAGAATATGCCACATCTTTATTTGACGGAATGGTGATAGACTAGGTGTGGGAGATAAAGAATAATATAGTCCTTTATTGTTATTTTCTCATTGATGTAGTGTAGGGCTTCCAAGAACTCAATTCCAGACAATTCTTTTTCTTCTTCTAAATCATACTCCTTTTCGTTAAAAAGATGTTTGAAATGTGGTTCACTTACTAGTGGGTCAATTCTCCATATCTGGTAGGATGGATAATGTTCAAGAATATTTCGTTCTTCCCATATTGCCCATATAGTGAACTTAAATGCTCGTTGAAATTTGCAGGTCTCTTCAAGTGCCTGGCTGCAAACCTCAGGAATGAAAGACTTGTAGTCTTCGGGTCTAGTTTTGTCGACATATAACTTGTGTACTAGACCTTTCTGAATATGCTCTTTATGTAAGAGTATGAGCTCAAAGCTTGCTAGTACCCTTGGGCGATCATATTGATTTAATATAACTTGTGAAGTTAACTTAAATAATGAACCTATGCCGTCATCTTTCAGCTTTTCAAAATATGATAGCACTGCCTGATCGTCAATCAGGTTGCGTTGGTAGCTGTTGAACATGTCCTTCAATTTTCTTTGGTTTTGATATTTAGAAATAATTAACAAGCTCAACAAAGTCATCTAGTTTTGTGACTGTCAGATCCTTTATCTCAACTTCCTCTAGAATCGTTCTTAGATTTCTAGAGCTTGAACTTAGTGTATCGTTCATTTGATCTTTTTGATTCTTCATTACCCTTAGACATGGTCAGGGTTGATTTACTTATGAGATTTTCCACAATGCTTCTGCATCTGTGGTATCCCTTTTCCAAATCTTATATCTTTCGGTTATTTTCTTTGATAACTCTTTCTAATGCAGATAAACAAGCATTAGTTTCTGGATTAGAAACTTTCATTTCATGTAGTTTCTTCCAGAGATTATTAATAGCA